TAAAGTGGCCAAGTTTGGACAACACTGCTCTAAAGCTATGAAGTTAACATTGCCAATTTAGTTATTGATTCATTGCCAGTTTAGACATTGATCCCTTCACTTGGTCCTGGAAATCCAGGTTCCAAATCCGGCTCGTGCAAGGCTCTTCCCCGGGCCAAAGCCTTCCTCTTTCCAAACATGCCTTCCTTGGACCCAGGGACCACCGCCATCTTCATCTCTTTGCCCTCCTCCTCCCTGCTGTTCTGCCTTGCATTGCGTGGCTTGTAAACCCGGGTTTGGCAACTCGCACCCAGACCCTGAGAGGCCTCAAAACGGCCTGGGGCGTAATCAGGGTCCCTGTGTTGAATTCATGGCATCGGAGCAGATGCTTCTCGCCGCGTGGCCTGGGCAGAATCGATCAATCCATCAGTCCGGGCATCGATCGATCGATCCACCCACCCAGCCACCCGTCCGGGGGGACGTGCTTAAGAGCCGGGGTGCAGAAAGGAGGGTCCGGCTTTGGCAAAAGGCTGGTGACTTCGCTCCCCTCGTTGGCAAGAGGGTGGCGAGACCAGCCCCCCAGCACACCAATCCGCTGGGGGGGGCTGAATCTGAGCCGTGCCGGAAGCTTCTGGGGGCAGCGTCGCCGTGCCAGGCCCCCACTCGAAAGCGCCAGCCCGGCGGCCACGCAGACGAGGGTGGCATCCGAGTGCCAGCTGTGAAGCCGAGAGCGGGCCCCTGGCGCCGACAGGGCCAGCCGGGCGGGGATGCAGGCCTCCGGCTTCCGCTCCCGGCTCCAGGCCTTCTTCTCGTCCCCCCCGCCGGCAAAGGCTGCCCAGAGAGGACCGGCCTTCTGGAGCAGATCGGTGGTGGCCCACTTGCCTCGGGGGCAGATGGTCCTCGCGGCCAAGAGGAAGCGCGCCAAGGGCCCCTGCCACCCCAGTGAGTGGGGGGCAAGGCCGCACCAGCACAGGGAGGGGGACGGGGAAGAGGCCTACAGGCATTGCAACATGGCTCCCTTGCTTAAAAGTCGCCCCCTCCACCCACTCTGTTTTTTGACAGGCCCTCTCTGCCCTTGTGGCTCTTTTTCCCAGGTGCAGCTGCTTCCTGGCAACCATGAGGACTAGAAGCCCTTGCCTCCTTTTTAAAATGGAGGCTGCACCCCGTGTGGGGTCAGCTGGGGGGAGAAGGCCACAGCTGGGTTTTGTGCAGGGACCTCTTTGCAGAGGGGCAGCAGGATTAGGGTAAATTCCTGTCCGTCTAAACCAGCGTTTCTCAACCTTGGCCACTTTAAGCCGTGTGGACTTCAACTCCCAGAATTCCCCAGTTGTTGAAGTTGAAAAACATTAATCTAGAAATCACCAATTTGGGAAAGAACACTTTT